GCCGCGGCGGCTGGGCCCGCGCGCTGCACGCGCAGCCCCCCTGCTCCCTGGGCCGCAGCGAAGGCTGGGCGCCGGCGGGCTGCAGGGTGGCCTGCGGCACGGCAGGGTGGCGGGGCATGCTGTCACGCACCGCTGCCGTACGAGTCTTACCTCATGCGCACGAAGCTGCTAAGCTGCTGTGATCTTTCCCTCTTGTTGGTGGTTGAAGGGATCCTCCTAGGCTTTTGGGTTTGGGCTGGAGTTGGCACCAGCAGRGAGAGCGCGAGCCTCATGTGCCGCTTTCCGTCACCTCCCAGGAAGCGCCACGACTCCGTGGACGAGTCGCCGCCGAGGCGGCCGCGCCACGACTCCCCCGAGCCGTCCCCGGCGCGGCAGGGCCAGCGCCACGACTCGCCCGACTTGTCCCCGCCACGGAGGGCACGGCACGACTCTCCGGAGCCGTCCCCTCCGCGCCGGCAGCGCCACGACTCGCCCGACCTGTCTCCCCCTCGAAGGAAACGACACGACTCTCCGGAGCCGTGTCCCGTGCAGCGCCAGCACCACGATTCCCCCGACCTGTCTCCACCTAGAAGGAAGCGCCACGATTCCCCCGACCTGTCTCCACCACGGAGGCCACGGCACGACTCTCCGGAGGCGGCTCCTCCCCGGCGGCAGCGCCACGACTCCCCTGACTTATCCCCGCCGCGGCGGCCGCGCCACGACTGCCCTGAGCTCTCTCCCAGGAGAGGCAGTTCAGCGGCGGGCAGAAGGGCCGGCCGGCCCGCGGACGAGTCGCTGCCAGGCCGGGGCCGGGGGGAGGCAGCTCCCGGCAAGGCCGGCGTCGCTGACAAGGCCCCGTCGCGTCACAGGCGGGAGGCCACTCCTGACCTGTCCCCTCCTCGGAGAAGCAGACACGATTCTGAGCTCGAGCTGTCGCYGCCGCGGAAGAGGAGGCCGGGCAGGAGCAGAGGTGAGTGTGTGCCGGGAGCCGCCCTGTGCTCCCTGCGGCCCGCGCGCCCGGCTGCTGCTGAGCTGCACAGCCCCGCGGCTGCGCTTGTGCTTAGGCCCTGCCTAGGACGTGAGGTAGGTGCACTTTGAAAGCCTGCACAGGAAGAACACTAAGGTAAACCCCCCCTTAAGCGACGTTCGGCAGGAAGGGAGGCCCCAAAGCGCTGTCCCCATCTGTGTCCTTTCCCTACAGGTCTTTCAAGCTCCCGCGTTTTGCAGGGGCTGCCTCAAGCAGCGCTGTACGTAGGCGCTCCGCAGGCTGCAGCGGGGGTTTTAACGCGCCCGTGTCTCCCCGCAGGCGCCTCTCCAGGCCCCGGGCAGCTCGGGCAGGTTCCGTCGCCGCCGCGGCGCGCCAGACACGGCTCGGGCTCCTCGTCTCCGCGCCGCAGTTCCCGCAACGCCTCCGACTCGGACGCCTCTCCGCAGCGGGGCAGTCGCAGGCAGCGTCCGTCACATCGCAGCTCCCCGGGGCGCGGGGCTCCCGGCACGAGCCGCAGCAGCGCTGCCCACTCCGACACGTCGCCGCCGAGCGCGAAGGAGCCGCGCGGCCCGCGGAGTCCTCCTCGGCCCTCGCCGCCTCGCCACCGCGGCACCGAGGGCTCCGCCAACAAGGTGCCCATTTGCTCTTGCCCTTAGATCCGTGCACTGCTTCCYGCAGGTGCTGGGGGAACTCGGGGGGAACACCGTCTGCTGTGTCCTGGGCAGAAATTGCTTTGGTGTCCTTCCTGGSTGCGGCTGCGCCACTCTGTCTGCTCCCAGTGAGAAGCGGGGGGTGGACGTGGGAAGGCAGCAGCTCTCTCGACTCAGCCTGAGACCCGTTTTCCGAGCACGGGACACTTCCCCGTTACGCCTCTGGGGCACTCGGCAGCTCTCAATCAGTAATAAATACGCTTTTCCTGTTTGGTTGGCAGGCAAACGCGATGGCATCGGGGGTGAAGTCGGGCCTGGTGCCRGCAGACGTGCTGCGCAGGGAGCAGCAGGAGCTCAGGAGACACGAGAAGAGCAACAAGCCCTTGGAAGGTAGGGGCCCACCGAGGCCGCCGTGCCTCGCGCCCGCAGCCGCCGCTGGAGGCCGCGTGCGGCACGGCCTCGGTGCTGCCGGAGGGCATCCCTGTGCAGCGGCGCCTACGCGTGCCCCAGCATCCCTGCGCGTAGCGTGCGGCACCCCCGCAGCGCAGCGTTCCTGCGTGGAGCTTTCAGAGCCTCATCCGCAGAGGCAGGCTGATCCCCAGGAGCTCGGCCTGCCAGGGCGGCTGCCTGGGCCAGCAGCTCGGACCGGAGCTGAGCTCTTGCCTGGTGGCGCTGCCAGCTGAGCTCGTCCAGAGCCCGGCACCGGCTTGGCAGCTTAGAGCGCTTGCAGGCAGCCCTTGCACCGCCTGCGGCCTGGGCCATGTCCCCAAACGCCCGACTCGGAGCGTGTGCCCTCCGCAGAGGAATCCCAGCACTCCGAGACCGTCTTCCGGGACAAGTCTGGCCGCAAGAGGGACCTCGTGCAGGAGCGGCTGGAGCAGAGGCTGCGCGATGAAGCGAAAGCCGAGAGGGACGAGCAGTATGCCCGCTGGGGCAGAGGGTAAGGGTGCCCGCCGCACGGCGCAGCACAGCGCAGGCCCGGGGCGCCCCTCAGCCCTGGAGCTCTCCGAGCTCCCTCCACGGCCCCTTTGCAGGTTGGCTCAGGGGCGGCAGCAGCAGCAGAAYGTGGAAGACGCCCTCAAGGAGATGGAGAAGCCCTTGGCGCGCTACATTGACGACGAGGACCTGGACCGCATGCTGCGGGAGCGGGAGAGAGAAGGGGACCCCATGGCGGAGTTCATCAAGAAGAGGAAGGCTGAGGAGAGCAAGGACAAGAAAGGTTGGGCCATGGAGGCACTGTGCTGCGCTTGAAGGCCCTGGGGAGCAGAGCTGCTGCGGGGTGCCCAGCGCAGCGCTGGCGCARCAGCCTAGTGCCACGGGAGTCCTGTCGGCAGCGAGAGCAGCAGCGCATTTGCCAGCGCGGGCCTGTTGCTCCTGCCTGCCCAGGGTGCCTCTTAGCGCTGCGAGCAGCGGCCTGGGCTGTTCCCTACGCTAGATTGCGTTAAGTGGTGTTCCAGCTCTCTGCTCAGAGCTGCGGTTCCCTGAGCAATGCCTTGCACGCTGCCCCTGGCCGCCCCCGTCGGTGGATGGTGCTGCGGCCACGGGCCTAGCAGGGCAGCAGTAACCGCCTTTGCGGCTGTTTCCTCTCCAGAGAAACCTCGGTACAAGGGACCACCGCCTCCGCTCAACAGGTTCAACATCTGGCCTGGCCATCGCTGGGATGGGGTGGACAGGTAAAGGCTCCGCTACGTTCACAGGAGAAGGGAAGGGCTTTGGCGCGGTGCCCGTGCGGGGGTGCCCGCTCCTCGGGGGAGCAGCTCTCGGCCACGTGGCGCTGGCAGGCGGCTGCTCCCAGGGCCGGGGCAGCACGGCGCGAGGCTGCCGTGCCCGCATACAGCTCCCGCGGCTCCGCTCGGGAATGCCGCTGCTGGGGGGAGGTCCTGCTGGGGCCTGCGCGGCCCCTGCCCGCTCACAGCTCCCGTCCTGCCCGCCCGCGCGGGCCCCTCTCGCCCTCCCTTCGCAGGTCCAACGGGTTCGAGCAGCAGCGCTTCGCGCGCATCGCCGACAAGCGGGCGCTTCAGGAGGTGGCCTACAAGTGGAGCGTGGAGGACATGTAGCGAGATGGGGACGGCGCCGCGCGGCCTCCAGCAACCGGGGCCCCTGCGGCGCCGCTGCCGCCAAGGGCTCGCCCTGCCTCGCCTGGCGCTGTCCTCGCCGGGCGCCCTCCCTCCTYGGGGAGCCCCGGCGAGGCTCCGGGTGCAGGGGAGCTGCTGGCGGAGGCTGGTGCTGCCSTGCGCGGCCAGCAGCGCTCCGGGGGCAGCCCAACGCGGGCGCAGCTGCGGCACTCCTGCTGCCCCGCAGCCCCTGGGAGGCTGCAGCCCCGCTGCTGCCCGGCCTCCGCGTTGCCCTGCGCACAACCTGTGTAAGCCGTACACGTAGTCGTGTTCTGCCAAACGCTTTCTCCTCTGACGTTGGTTCGCAGACGTTCAGGTGCCCTACATCTCAGGTTTTCTCAGTCGCCGCAGTTCCTCTCCGCGGCAGTGCAGCCTGCTCCAGAAGCCGGTTGCCGTTTCAGCCGTGGGCGACTGCTTGCAGGGAGCAACTGACCGAGCCCTTCTCGGTCCTGCAGCGCTGCGGGGCTGCGCGCCCTCGCGACACCTTCTCCCAGACTCCACAAGCCTCGGTACCTCGCCCTGGTTTTTTAGTCCCCATGTTACATTCTTAGCAGTTCTGGAGCCGGTGCGGACACTGTAAATAGCAGCTGCYTTTTCTACTTGGCTTTGTGTGCGGGGGTGTTTTTGCTGAGGCGGCGAGGAGGAGGATGCCCGAGCGGCGTCCCACTGCTGCGAGCCGGGCTCACCCCTGCGMTCGGCCTGGCTCTGCTGCGCCCGGCCGCACTGACGGTGCTGCCCCGCCGCTCCTCTCCACGTCGGCTGGGAGCTCCCCAGCCCACGAGCGGGACCGCGGGACCCGCACGGYGCCCACGGGACCCCGGTGTTAACAGGGCAGCGAGTCTGGGCTCGGTGCCCCCCTTGCACCCAGGCCGGGGTGTCGCGGCGTGCAAAGGGGTGAAGCAGGGCGGGCTGCACAAAGCCCAAGGGCATGGGGCCAGCACGGCCCTGAGGTGGGAGCCGCGACGGGAGCGGCATGAGGGGCAAGGGCTGGGGTGGGTGGCGCTGGCCTGGCCGGGGGCAGCCCGCAGCACAAAGAGCGAGCGTTCAAATCTTAATTTAATTTAAAGCCCTGCCATTCACGGGCATGGCAAACACAGAGCAGAGTAATTATTATGCAAATTAGGCAGATAGAAAAATGATTAATAATTGCACAAATTAAAAATTATTGTAAACATCCTGTGAGGAGCGATAAGTCTGCGAGGAGTGCGTGTGCAGGAGGCGCCGCCGCGCAGGCAGCTCCTGCATCCCCGTTTGCTCATTAGCGGCAGTTAATTAGCAAAGGAGGCGCGGGCGCCCCGCGGCGCGGCCGGGGTTGGGCCGAGGGGCTGCGGCCGCGCTCCGGCCACGCTCGGGCCGCCTGCGCGGGGCTGCAGGGCGCCGAGGCGGCCCCGCGGGCCCCGGCTGTCGCGGCGGCGCTCGCCCCGCGGGCTGCTGCGCCCGGCTGCGGGACGGCGTGTGGCCCCTGCGCCGCACTCGGGCTGCTCCACTGCTGCGCTTCTGACAGCGAGCATGACAATAACAACAATGGGCTTACACTGCCTAATAGGCTTACGTGGTGCGTTAGTCGTGTCAAGGACAAGCAATTAAGCTTGGCCGCACGCATCATAATGAGATTTTTGTTGACAAGCCCGTCCGTGATGCGGTAGCGAAGCCGAGGAGCTGCCCGGCCGGTGCGTGCCACCTCTCTGCCACCTGGGCCGTGGGTCGGAGCGGRGATGCGCAGGGCAGCGTGTCCCTGTGCTCCTGCCCGGGGCTCCTTGCAGCACTGGGAGGTGGGACGGGACGGGATGGGGACCGGGGGGCTGGTGCAGCCCGGGAGGCGCCAGCAGCGCGGCCGCCCTGCGCCCGCTCATCGGCCGCCGATGGACGCGGTGTCCCGGCCCTGCCGCCGTCCTCCTGGCCGCGCTGCTGCCGCTGCTGCCGCGGGTTCTGGCGAGCGGCACCTCCTTGTGGCTGTTCCCTGCTGAGAGACATCGCCCGTTAGCTTGTAGTTAAAGAGGACCCGAGCTTTGCCATCTTGCCTTTCCCGTCGCCGGCGGCGGCTCGGAGCCGCCAGCGCTCGGCCAGGCCCCACGGCCCCGTAGGGCCGGCAGCGGGAGCGCAGCCGGGTGTGCCCGCGGGCCCGGGAATCCCGTGGGAAGCGGCCGGACACGGCGGCCGTGGCTCCGGGCGGGCAGGGCCCCCACGCTGCCCGGGTAGCGGCTGCACAGGTGCATGTGCGATTTGCTAATTACGGAATAATTAGGGACATGCAGAGAGAAAAATTGCTAATAATGTTTACTCTAGACTCTGTTTTTTTCAGTAACCTCTCTCCCCGGCTCGCTCCCCGAGTCTTGGTGGAAATAACTTGGCAGCTCCCAGTTAATGAATATTTGTAAATGCAAGAACATTGAGCGCCACAATATCCAGAGGGCACCCTCTTCTCCTCCTTGTAATTTTTTTTTTCCAAGATATTTAATATTTATGGATCCGGCTCCTTGTGAATAGAGAGAGCCACCCACAAACCCCGAGGAGCTGCGAGGCCGGGGATATTTATGGCGCTTCCTCCTTGGCTTTTCAATTACAAAGACACCTCACGTAATTAAGTGCTAATAACCTTGTTAATCTAAAATTGATACTCTTTCTCCTGGCCATCTCTTAATAGAATTGCAAGCAGATTACCGCRCGACGTGGCGGCCGGGCCAGGGGCACGGGGACGGGGTCGCGCCCGGCCCCGCTCTCCTCGCCACGGCCCGGAGCTGCAGCACGCGCAGCCGGGCGGCCCCCTCYCCTAACGACACCGCTGCCTGTTAATTAATTATGTATCGCGGCTCATTCTCATGCGCGGCCCGCCTCCGCCGAGCCTTTGATCTGTCAGAGGCTAAACGGCAGATAAATAATCAAATTAAAAGCAGCCGGGATGGAAATAAACACGTTTAAGAGGCGTTCTGCAGCGCTCGGAGCGCTGCGCGCAGGAAAGGGAAGGGGCTCCCGCTGCGGCTCCGCTGCGGGCGCGCGCTCACGGGGACGCCAGGCTGCAGCTCCGGGCCCGCGATGCACCCGCGGCACCCGCAGCAGCTGCTCGGGCTCCCGCCGCGCGGCCGGGACGCGGCCCCGCCGCCTCGCCGGGGACCGCGCGCACGGGCCCGCGCCGCCCATCGGGCTTTATCTTTCCCGTTAATGGCTTTCCAAATTGGCGGCAGTGGAGCAAAGAAACCCAATTTGAACTCGGAGCATGCATGATTACTATTGTAATAACCTTGGCTAATAAGAATATGATGTGGTGTTAGGCTGGGAAAGAAAACACGTTTCTCATTAGCTTTTTGATTAATTACTCCACCTAATTTCCTAGGGGGACAGGCCTGCGACTGATTGCCGTGGCTCTGGACGCGTGCAAGTGGCTTACCTTCCCGTAATGGTTTTCCCGGTGACATTTGAATGGCAGCGCTCAATTAGGGGCCGGGGGCAGGGGCTGTGGATCCCGGCGCTGCGGTTCCGATCCCGGCGAGYGCGGTGCCACCGCGAGCGCCTCCGCRGCCCGGCGTGCAGCTGGTCGAAGGCATGTGTTTACACGCCTTGGAAGCGCCCGATTTCCTTCCTTGCATCGCAATATAAGTTTTTTACGGGAGCTAAAACATTCAGAGATTGTTTGATGTTGCCACATGGAGCGGTATCAAATGAGGGCTGGAAGGAGGGGAGGAACGAGAGGGAGGCCAACAGAGATTCATTTGTTCCCAGAGCTGAAAATTGAATTACATGTCGTATTTCTGCATCATAAACTCGCCCACAGCACGGAGCTCTCGCTGCTGCATCGGGAGGCGATGCGTGCATGGCTCCCGTGGCCGCGACCTGCCCGTGGCGCCGCTCAGAGTGGGATGCAGCGGGGAGACCCCCGAGCGCTGCCACCCGCCGACGCGGCCCCCTTCGCCCGGCTGCTTTGGGCTGCGTTTGAAGCCTGGCCAGCCCCGTGCCCCTTCCCGCCAGGTGAAGCGGCAGGGCCCGATGAAAGCGGACACTTTAATCCACTGGGCAGCAACGCAAGCATTACAAGTTGCAGGCAAATCGCAGCCCGACATTGGTACTGCATTTTTGCTTGGCAGTTGACAAATCATTTCGTAAATGTCTTGGGCGGCTGTGTGCGGTCCCTGTGTGAGCGAGGGGTGTGCCCGCCCGTACCCTGGTGCCTCCCAGCAGCGTGGTGTGCGTGCGTGCCCGGGGGGAAGCAGGGCACGGGGAGGGCAGGAATTCTGCCGGGTGTGCCGCATCGCCCCGCTCTGCACTGGCCCCGGCGGAGCRCGAGCGCGGGGCGGCGCGGGCGCTCGTGTCTCTGCTCCCTGCTTGCCGCCCGTGTGTCCCGCTAGCCACGGGCCACCGGCGCCACCCCAGCGCTCCCGCGCCCTTCGCCAGAATGTTGCTTTCTCAAACAGAGTAATTAGCGGTTAATTGGCGGCAAGCTTTGCTCCTAATCCCCGGGCTCTGGCAGGGAAGCGCGGCCGTTTGYTGCGGGCGCCGCGCCGGCACCATCTGCCCGTTTGCAAACAGGGAGCAGGCGGCCGGCGCGCTGCTGCGGCGCCGGGAAGCTGCGGGMGTCCCCGGGAAGCGGCTGCTCGGGCGGAGGGCGCCGGCGCGGGCAGGGCGCTGCTGCGCTGCCGGCTCCGCCAGCGACCGGTGCTGCTCTCCTGCGCGGGCGGCGCGTCCGGGAGCGCACTTTGGGGCAGCGGGGAAGGGGGACAGGCTGCTGAGGCTGYGCTGCCCTCGTCCTCGCCGTGGGCTGCCCGCCTCAGCGCAGCGCCGTGCTTGCAGGGAGCGCTCCGAGCAGAGGCAGGCAGCCCGACATGCCACAGGATTTCTGCACGTCGGCTTCCTCTCATTACGAACGGTTATTTTTTTTCCTTCTTTTTCTCTCTTCTGGCCAGTGCCGGGCGGGTTGATGAATTAGCCCAATATATATTCTGTCTGGGAACCAAACACACATCATACGT